GAAGTGTTTGTTACGCCAAACGGAGTCGTGTGCATATCAAATGCAGCTGATCTAAGCGTCGGGTAAACATTTTCAGTCAAAGGCAGTGTATTTATCAACGCATCCCACATCATCAAAGACATGCAGGCAGTGCCCACAAAAAGCAAAACAGGAAAAAAACAGTTACGAATAAGAGTACAGGGATATACTGTATTGTATCTCTTCAGCACTGCATATGATCCTGTGTTTTATTTTAGTGCTTGGTATTCACCACGGAGGTCCAAGAAAGACGGAGTTACCGACCCCAGAGTGGCACATTAAATTTAAGTGTTCAACGTGGCATGCAGAACAACATTGGAGAGGGCGCAAGGCCAAAACGTCCGTCGATGGTTCTGCCCTTGTAAGAGCTGTATGCCACTTCGCACGGCATGACAGGCCAACAACCATTCTTAAGATGCATTATAACGTACGCGCGCAACTTTAGACTCACACTCAACTGAAAAACAACAAAGGCATCGGAAAAGCCCATTATATTTTGGCAGAAATTCCCCCTTCAGTTGGATTTTGAAATATAAAATCAAACGGCCGAAATTTATAACTTAAACACGCGATCGGGTGGGGGTTAAATTGACCCCCTCCCCGAAGGCTTTTCCGGAATGACTTCCGAACAGCGCAGTATAGCCGCGCCAAATTTTGTATAACAGTAGAAAATTAAACAGCGGATTGCTTGAGATAAAACATTGAATGTACCTTGAAGGGTCGCTGGCCTACGGCAGGTCAAAGACAGGCCATGCTTTCAGCGAAGTCAATTTCTAGGGAATCGTTGAATTTGATGCAACGACGGAGTGTTAAACGAAACCATACGTCTCTGAGATGCTTTCTTAGGCAACACAACAGTTGAATGAGCAAATTACATTGGCCTAAGGTATGACCTAAGGACCTAAACAAAAGTATGACCATAGGACCAAATTACATTGACCTAAGAACCTGGGCCGGTACCAACGCCGGCACCGATCACTAGAGAGCCGGTGCGAGCAAATTACATTAACCATTAGGTATGAAGGTCAGACAAAGGTCAAAACCAGCATGTTTTATTACACCAGGGCTTGCTGTGAGAGGTAGTTTTTATTGCTCATTTTGAATTTGTTGATAACAGGAACCACATTGTGCATTTCCCATGGTTTTCTTATAGGTCAGAATAGGTCATTGACCTAAAATGACCCAAGTCAACATTTTGTTTTCAGGAACGAACTGCCTAGCGTAATCATTGTCGCTTATTTAGATGCAAAACTCAGAGCAGTCTTGTATGATTTTGGTCACCATGACCTTCAAAAGGCCGATCAAGGTCACTGACCTTGAATAAGCATGCGACATTTTGCTTAGAAACGGTTATCTAGGTTCTGAGGCACTTTGGAGACCAACGTGAAATTTGACCTTGTTTGAACCTTGTTTTTCACGAAGATAATGACCTAGGAACCTTAAACTTTTGAATTAAGTGAGTTCACGTATAGGTCAACACACCCGGAAAGTTGGGTGTTTTTAGCTCTTTTAGTTCCCGAGATCTCAGGGGGTTTAAATTGTCCCCCCGCCCGAGCAAACGGTATTCAGCCGGCCGCCCGGGCGCGTTAAGACACTTAGAGTCGTCCTTTTTACCACACTCAGGTCATGCCATCGACGGTACGAAATACTCAGGTCATGCCATCGACGGTACGAAATACTCAGGTCATGCCATCGACGGGACGAGAGACATATGCCATAATGTACACCCATGATCCACTGCATGCCAATCATCAAATTCAATTGTTATTATATGCATATGTCCATATGATATATGGTCACATTCATGATGTGATATGATATCATATGAATATTTCACATAACTGTATGGATATTATTATACGGATGTGGTAACCGGATGTGGTAACATCCATTATTTTAAGCTTAAATATACAAGCTTAGCTTACAGCTAACAAGCTTAGATGTACAACTACCATTCGGCATCAAGACAACCGCGGGTTGTTTACCATCAGGTCACCTACAGTCAGCCATCAGCTGGTTGAGCTATTTTAGACATACATTTCGACGGCTCCCATTTTGCGGCCACCCGTCCAGGATCGGTGGAGCTTCCCGGCGAGGCGGCGGACGGCGAGCAAGCCGCCCATGGTCAGGCCCTCCTCCCCCGCCGAACCAAACACGACCATTAGGCCCAGCGCTAAGTGTGGATCTGCCCGACGCTCCTGCCGATCGGCCCACAACAGGGCGGCGCCTGCTGTTGATCGATGCCGAGGGGGAAAACAGCGCGTGTTGCCCGTCCAGGTGGGGCGCCGGATGCGTGAAGCCTGTGTGCGAAAGGTCGAGGGGGAGGGGGAGGGGTAGGGGGCTCCCAGGGTGAGTATTTAGAGGGCCGTTTCCGATGTTGTTCGCCAGTTGCGTAGATCCCTGCCACTTTGGGACGTATTGTCAATGCGTGTGGCTCCGCTTTGGCTCGTCTAAATATTATCATCAGTCTGAAGAGTGGAGGTGGGGCACCATGGCTATGGGCGCACAACCATATGTGGGGAGAAAGCCATTTATAGTGCCTGACCGGACCTATCATCCCACCAATACCCCGGCATCCGCTTCATGACAAGCTGTGTGGCTCACATGAGTGCGTGTTGATGTCGGGTGTACCGGAGTCACAACATGCCGAGTCGTGCGCTAACATCATCTGGCTCGTATGCTAACCAACTGGCTCCTCAGTAAAAATTCGCTCTTGTAGGGAGGCGTGACAGCAGCAGACGGCAGCGCACAAACATGCAGCCCGGCAGCAGTGCAGCGCACGCACCTCCCCCCCCCCCCCCCCTCCCCCATACAATCTACGGGCCGTCATCTACGGGTTGCCAACCCGTATACAGCTTAATTTTGAAATCCCGTTGACAGTTAAATTACAAAGACTGCAGAAAGTGCATTCAGCCCAGCCGTAATAAGGAACCACCATCTACGGCCATCACCTTTATCAGCAACGCCGCTTATGTATTCATGGCTTTTAAAATTTGCAGCTCACCTAAAGAAGATGTTTCTGTCGCATTATAGCCAACTTTGCGGTGTATTGTACGTTTTCGATTCGGGTTTGTGACTTAGATCAAGACGGTACGGTATAGCATAGATAGCATAGATAAATATGCACAGTCCCAGAGAGCGTCTGCTATCGATAAAAGAGATGTAGTCTACGCTGACGGATCGATCTACAGGGCGGACATTACCAAACGTAGGAGAAAACCATTCGAGGGAAATCAAATGAGCCAAAGACGAATGAAGGCCACGTAAAGAAAAATCACAAAGTCATTTGGTGGTTGCCACCAGCTGTTTCGGTAACACATATTATCAAACGAGGTCACTAAAATAACGTGCCAGGACCGAGATCGCAGTCGCACTTTCCGTCCAAGAACGGAGGTCCACGGCAGAAACTTCACAGCGGCCAACTTCTTTAAAAAAGTCATTCCGACCCCAGCGTCGTATGCTTTTTACGAAATGTCGTGTGACGGGACGTCGGTGAAATTTAAAACCATTCTTCCACTAATTGCGTTATGACATCCGAAAGATGAAGAGATTATGACAAGTTACTTGAAGACCATGAAGAGGCAGTGACAAGTTACTGGAAGACCATGAATAGACAATGACAAGTTACTTGAGAACCATGAAGAGACGATGACAAATTACTTCATTCCAGCCGTAACAAGAGGCTGCCATCTACGACTATGGCTGGTATCTACGGCACTTTCCGAAAATGTAGCATTCTACCACAAATGCCAATTATCACCAGACGCTACCCTGAATGGCTCCATAGCTTTCACAGCAACCAAGCAGACCGAGACACTTTCTACCAATTTGTGCCTATTTTTGTCCAAACAACTGCATGCGATTAAGTTGTTAAAATACTCCAGGCCCCTTCAACAATGCTTTCTCAGATAAAATCGCAATGAAGCAAAAGGATCTACCACACGCACGAGCAGACTAAACAGGAGATCCCAGCATTCCGCAAACCGACTGAAAGGGGTACATCCCATCAAGGATTTCCACACAAGGTTTTTGTTTACTGCGTGAAATACCACCGTCTGGCCACTTTCCTCTTACGTCTGTTTCTTTCAGTGAGCAGTGCGTCAGTGGTGTCACCCTGCCATGCACAACGATCCTATCGACCGCTCACGCCAGCGCCGGCGGCGGCCGGTCCCGCGGGGACCTGCGCTTGAAAGCGGCGTTCCGCTAATGAATGACTCTGCAGCGGCTGCAGCGGCGCTTCGGGACGCGTGAGCGGCGCCAGGCGCCAATCCGGCTAAGAGCAGGGCGCTGCCGGGCCGGCCGACCGGCGGCGCCAGCTCGGCGCGGACAGCGGTGCCCCTCGGCTCAGCCAGAGCCGCCGCGGCTCACAGCAAATCACAGTCGCAGTTCTGTCGGCGCGACGGGAGCCAGTGGCGATGGCTTCGCTCAGAGGGAGATGGGGTGCTTTCTTCGTTCAGAGTGAGAGCTCGACGACCACATGCGACGCTTATATCACCTTCACATCAATAGCGGTGTTCAAAAGCCAGAAGGCTTCTGAAAACCAAATTCATATGTCCATCATCTTTGGGCAGATGGGCGAATTGCTACGACGAACCACGAGACAAAACAATGGGAAAATTGAGTCAATACGTCAACCTAAAGCTGTCAACAAAGTTGCAGGCTGCAATCCAGCAGCCCCCGCCAGCACCACCAGCCTGGCTGGGAGGTGCCATCGGGCCGACCCACCGAAATGTCAGACCGTGAACTCTACGCTCGCAAGCGACGGATGTTGTTCCCACCGAACACGATCTCTAGGGAGATCTGATATACCAGCGTTTAGGCAGCTGACTTACTTCGGAAGGAGCTGGTACAGGAGTTCTTCACATTTGCGCTTTTCATCTAAGTAGTCGGCCGTTCGTTCTTCGACGAGAGCCTCGAGGTTGTTGGCGTACTGCTCCATCCGGGACAGGAGATTGTCCAGTATATTACCGCTCTCATTGTCCCTGAAATCGCAAGACGCTGAACCTTCAGTTTTCAGTTCATTGCTTCCAGTGCCCATGCAGCATCCAGACCACAGACAGACACGCATGCTAGAGCTGGAAATTCAGTTGGACGTTCAATGCAGCTGGTGCAAACCATGTTTTCACTTCCATTCTGTCGCTAATGATCTTCTAGACGTGGGTACAGTTTGTCAGTGCTGCTCTGCTTTAGTGCTGGTCAACGACTTCGAGCGAGTCCTGCCACGGACGATGTTACGATGTTACGATATTACGATGCCCGATTAACAAACAATTAACTGAACAAAACGGACATGCCCATCGCACAGCTATGTGTATGTGTGTGTGTATGTGTGTGTGCATCTGCAGCATATGGGCTTTTAATCAGCATCGCCCACGGATATATGACAGCCGTAGAACATTACTTACAATGAATACAGATATTGTCAAGTGACCCGCGGAGCTAGCAGCCCGTTTTCTTTTTCTTTTGTCTCCGGTTCATGATGTATGCAGTGGACTGAGTGGTGTGAGCCCGTCAAATTTCCAAAAAGTGACGAAATCGCAACGATTAGCTCGCGTGATGTTATAATGACGGACCGTATAATCACAAATAAATTCAAAGAAGATATACACTCGGATAGATATGCATGTAAAAGGATCAGATTTACACATGTATTTCCAGACTTCAAAAGCAGTTGAGAGACAAGCGAGGTGATTTTAAAGATAATTTTCCGTTTGATCACGGGCCATACAGTGCAGCCAAGGACCCCGCTTTGCAGTAAAGCTTTGTCGTGGGAATAGAAACACAACATCTGCCAGCAAAAATACACGACCGTAAAATCAAACGCAGCGTAAAACGGCGAACAGGGGCATTAAAGCTCCCACTTTGGCTACGAAGCTCTTGGCTTCTGCGAGGCTCGTGCGTCACTGCTCTTCCGGACGAGACACGTGTGGGGGGAGGGTAATTCGGGTGCGGGGGTGGCCATCCTCAGCAGTGCTGCCCAATCGGTGGCTGACAGCCAGAGGCTTCTCGTCCTCATTTGGCGGCACATACCTTAAAGGGGTGGGTGGGCCACGTGAAAACAGCTTTAGACGACATCAGTCGAATGTTCGAAGCAACGTCTAGATATAAGAGGCTGTTAGCCGCATGGGTTATATCACAATGAGATTGAATCTCTTCTGGACTAATCGATACTTTTAGTAACAAGAAAGTTGCATCAGCAATGACAAGCGATCCCATAGTATTAAAACGCAAACAAACCGAAAAAGTTATCAGCCGCTGCAGCGCTCCCGCGACAGATCCCGGAGCCAGGGACAGAGCCACACCGATCAGAATGCCAAAAGTCCCAATAGCCTAAACTTGTGACCACCCTGGGGGCTTCCCAGCACGGGTGAAAAAGCTTCTGATTTACCGGACATGATCGGTGACAAAAATCGGCACTTTTGCGAGTTCATTGGTGACAGAATTGCAGAAATGTAAACAAGTTACAAAAGACCGGACCATATTTCAAAATACCATCCCAGCTAGACAAAGCTTATCTTGGTGTGTGACTTAGCATTGGTTGGTACTCGCTAATTCTTGCGGCGTGAGCTTGTGCAGAGCACATGTCGGAGCGTTGGTGTTTCGCTCTTTGGGTAAGTTGAGCCACAAGATGCTGCCAAATATAGTAGCTTTAATCAGCATAGTTTTAAGAAGATGACAGAAATATACTACAAACTACACTATATCAGTGCTGACGTCACAGATCAGTGGTGACACAATGCTCTTCCATTGCCCCTTAGATCTGTGCTTCTCACCGACTTTTCAGCCAAGATTCACCTCGCATACTCAACAGCACAGAAAGCCAAATGACTAAGCTTGCTACTAGTCGTAAGAATTGTGGCTGGCCACAGCATCTAACGGCGAATGAGGTCAGCTGGCTCCACAGAGTTTAAAAGCGTCCTGTCATTTGGGACAGACGGGCTCGAATGCGCCCCACGCAGTAACGAATTTGGTTCAGTGGCAGGCTGTGGGCTGCCGTTGGATGTGTGAAAAGCTAACAAGCTATAGCTGGGAGAAGCTAACTGGCATGAAAAACGCAGCCAATCGTCAGTTCCGTAAGGCGCTGTGCAGCTTTTCCAAGTGCCGGCCATTAAAGGTGTACCTGGTAATGGCGTTACAAATCCCTGCCGATCTCGGAAGCTTATTGTTTGGAAAAACCCGACCTGCAGCTTCAGAAGTGAACGGAGGACGTTGGAGCGACACATGTCAAGGATTCATCCAAGGTTTTCTGCTGCTAAGAGTAACAGCGGCTTTGGGGTAAGATGCCGAGCATCGCTGGTGTAGGCCTCTCACGCTGCTGGTCGCGGCTCAGATCTGGCGCTCTGACCGGTGGATAAGCGGGGGATAAAACGCTCTTAGTTGCCATCATGTTGTATATTGAGTTAAATTAAGGTGTTAGAGGTGTTCAAAAATGTCGTTTGCATCTGTTCATACCAATATTGTATATGTTTGCATTAATTAGTTGCATCATGTTAGAAAGTACAAATTCTGCGCAGGTAATATTCATGCGAAAATAGTAAAGGTCTTCAATGCTTCCAGCTGATTGTAAGAAGACGTCACAGAACCAAAAGTGATATTATTTCAGGTGCTTGTAACTAACATGTTATCGGTAGATGTGGAGCTATACCGATACAGTTTTGCAACACGCGTAGAGGTGAGTCCGCCTCTAAAATGCACTTCAAGCGGCTTTTCATCCAGATTTCACGAAATTTCTTGTCAGAGTTGGGGGCGTGAGTGTAGTCTCAAAACTAGCTTTGAGACTACTACCTACTACCGAAGCCAAGCGCTACTACCGAAGACATACTTATTTGCCATAAGCCAAAAACTCTTAACATGATGATTAATGAAACATGATGGATAAAATGATAAAAATGGGAAAATTCATCCACGACGCATAAGTCCGTTCAATTATATTCAACCATCACTCAGTGTCTGATGGCTAGCAAATGATGCTTAAGTGCAAATGATCCCGCAAAACACAAGGGTTTAATTTTCATGCCGCACTCCATTTCATTTGCATTTATTGTTGTGCTCCGCATCTAGAGTTACACTGGAACGGTTTCTGAAAAATTGGCTCCAGGTGACAGTTGAGACGTGTCCAAATTTTGTCGGTGACAAAAAAGGCCCCTTTTCACCCCTGCTTACTAGATCCGACGCATCGTCACCAGGTCTTAGACAACCCCGCAACCCGCCCGACCCACCCCCGACCCCGAGTGAGAGCTGACTGCGGCCAGCCGACCGCCTCAAAAATAGCGGCGCCTGGGGGACCCATGGCGCCACATTTCACGTTCCGACAGCGGACATTCGAAGCCGCTGCAGCGTGCGAGCTATGTGACGTCACCTAACGACCTTCCAAGCCAGCTTTGGGCCGACGGCCGGTGCAGCTCTATGGGCCGTAATTGGCGTCCCAAAGGTCGCCGGTCGGAGTGGCAAGAGATGCACCTTGCCGACGGCCCGGGCCGCCCGATCGTTACCAGGTGAGAGCGACGGGCCAGGCGACGGCACCACAGCTAGGGCCTGCAGCTGCAGGGTGCGCCGCCACCCACCGGCGCTGCTCTACGGGGCACCAGAGTGCGGCTCCATATAGCACTCTACCTGCCTAACGCACGGGTACGCTTGCACAGTGTTCTCCAGACGCCCGGCGCACGGGGAGCTCCTGGCGTTTTCGGCGGCTACCGAGCACGCCGATACCAGCCGGCGTAGTTATGTTTTGTGTAGGTTACGTTTGCATACGACTTGTGAACATCTCGGCTTCACCAATCCGGACCACCCTGGTGTTGAATAAACGATGGCTTAAACGCGTTATGGACCCGGCAGGAAGCGCGGGGCACCTAAGCTTTGTATTCATAAGGCTGGTCGCCGACCGCCGAGCGCTGGGTAAGTGAACTGCCGCTCTGTTCAGTATCTAACTGCAGGGCTCTAGCTTCAAGTGCATCAAGCGCTTTTCGTGTCTCATTTGCGAGCTAGCTCGGTGACGCTTCAGTTGTGGTCAAATAAGCGCCTTTTCCATTTGACAATGTCACGACTTCAGCTCAGGTGCCGTAACATCAATCGGGTCCGAAGGGCTTTATTGGAGAATGTACGACATTACCAGATATATATTGACATCTTGGTGCATTTCAGTGCAATTGGGATGACACAAACATTGAAGGATATTCCCGAATGAACGCATTCCGCAAAAACACACATCCATCCAAGCTTTAAACAAGATCTATCTCTAACTACGGTGAAAAAAGAGCTCGCAAAAGGTTGATATTGCACGAATAAGCCAGCTGCCTAACGATATATTAGTTACATTAGAACTTATAACCGTCAACATTTGAAATGAGTCACTAGAATGTGTCGCAGACTTGAGTTCCCCTTGCATCCCAGCCGAAGGGCAACGCAAGGGCCGGATTACCCTTGCATCCCAGCCGAAAGGCAACGCAAGGGCCGGATTACCCTTGCATCCCAGCCGAAGGGCAACGCAAGGGCCGGATTACCCTTGCATCCCAGCCGAAGGGCAACGCAAGGGCCGGATTACCCTTGCATCCCAGCCGAAGGGCAACGCAAGGGCCGGATTACCCTTGCATCCCAGCCGAAGGGCAACGCAAGGGCCGGATTACCCTTGCAACCCAGCCGAACGGCAACGCAAGGGCCGGATTACCCTTGCATCCCAGCCGAAGGGCAACGCAAGGGCCGGATTACCCTTGCATCCCAGCCGAAGGGCAACGCAAGGGCCGGATTACCCTTGCATCCCAGCCGAAGGGCAACGCAAGGGCCGGATTACCCTTGCAACCCAGCCGAACGGCAACGCAAGGGCCGGATTACCCTTGCATCCCAGCTGAAGTGCAACGCAAGGGCCGGATTACCCTTGCATCCCAGCCGAAGGGCAACGCAAGGGCCGGATTACACTTGCAACCCAGCCGAACGGCAACGCAAGGGCTGTAGTTGTAGGCGTTACGGATCCACAGCTCGCTGAGGG